CAGTTCAAACTCACCAGCTATTCCTTGGAAACCCTACACAGAGTCGCTATGGGTCAGAATCAACTCGACGGCATTTAACAACAACAATCAATAGATTTTCTTGAAGGACGCAAGACAATCATGGGATTTATTAGTAAGAAATTTTAAGAAAAATTAAAACTGCATTGGTAAGAAAAAGGCCAGGAAAGTTGCATCGAGGAACTTTTTTACACCATGACAACGCAATGGTTCACTGTGAGGTGGTAGTTAAGGGCTGGCCTATTAGAACTTTTGTTAGGAACCTCACCCATCCACCCAACAGTCTTAGTCTGGCCTTTGTCAAGACACCTTTTTATTTTCCAAACTCCAAGAACATTGAAAAAGAACAAGGATTAAGTCCCTCAGTCATTTTGAAGTGGCGTAAATGACAGGGTGCACGCTTTTCCAGGGAAAGGTTACAGATGGAAATGCCACCTTCAGAAGTGTACAGACCTAGATAAAAGACATGCTGACAAACAATAGCTACACTTTTTTTTTTTTTTAAATAAAGGTTTCTATGACTCCTGGTGTAGTGCTTACAGACAAGCCTAGACTGCGAACCACAAGGATGCCATTCTTAAAAACCCTGTACAGGGTCGCTATGCATTGGAACCGACTCTACGGCACGTAACCACCAGTGGTGTGGCGCTGTAGGATAACCAATGGACTGCACAAAGTCAGTTTGAACTGCAAGGCTGGTGGTTCAAACATACCAGTCGCTCCTTAGAAACCTTGTACAGGGATTGCTATGAATTGGCACCAACTTGGAGGCACTTAACAACGATTTTGTAGCAATAGTTTTTGACTTACCCTTGGACATCAAATGTCACCTTTTAGACAGTTACAATATATACATAAATATATTAATAATATATACAATATCTATATAATATATAAAACAAATGCAATCCCAAGTGTGATCTAATGATTCTGTGGGAATCTGACAATCTTTCACCTCTAGGAATAAAGAAAAGAACACGGTCTTTAGAATCAGATACTGACTCATATCACAGACTAGCTATAGTGGAGACAAGAGAAAATATGACATCTATACAGCTGCATCCATTTTGAATTCCTCAGATCCTACCTCTTTCATTGTCAGTCCTTTGTCCACTCAATAGCTTGAACTAAGGGCTATGACCCAGTCCTTCCATCAGCAGGTAGGCAAAACATGATAGTGAGAAGAGCAGGCAATCATTTAGAGCTATTCTCAGTTTTGGATTTCACATAGTAGCTTAGCTAAATGATCCACTGAGCGTTTAGCTTTTTATAAAGTGGATATGATACCACTAACCTTGCTGAATTATTATAAATGTAAAGGTAACATAAAGTACTTACATAAATTGTATTTATCATGGCATTTCCAGCTCACACCACTTTCAGAACACTAATTTTTCTACACAGATACAATTTTTTAAATTTCAAGTTAGGTCATAACAGTTTAGCCAGTCCCCCAAATTGGCACATTTATAGCTACCTTCTTTCCTGCTATTTTCTTCACATTATCTTAACTATAGTCATTGTGTTAAGGGCTAAACAGATTTTGAAAGTGACTTAGGAACTTATCCACCATTCATTATATCATTGTATTGGAAAGTATAACTAACTACATTTCTACCATTTAACTAGAGGAATCATGTTTCCATAAAAATATGCATTTTCTAAGTATTCCACTAGAGGGACCTCTTAACATTTCACAAATGAAACCACGTCCTAAATCTTACAAAAGGTGAATAAAAATACCAAGGGAAAAATGGGGAACTTTGAGTGTATAATTATTAAATTATTTAAATTTCCTTTGAAGGAGAAAGTAGAAAAAATAAAAATGAGAGTTGAATGTAAAGGCTCAAATTCTAAAAAACAAATTCTATCATATATTTGCTAAGTACTGTGCTTAAATTAAGATAAGGGAGTTCTGGTGGCACAGTGAGATAAGCATTGGGTAGCTAACCACTTAGGATATTGGCTGAAAGCAGAAAATACCAGAAAGATGTTTGCTGTTGTATTTAGGTGGCATCAAGTCAGTTCCAACTCATACCGACCTGATGCAAAACAAAAAGAAATGTTGCCTTGTCCTGCGCCTTCCTCACAATTGTTGTTACCATGTGAGGCCACTGCTGACAATATTTTGGTGCTATTCATAATGTTTTCTACTTCCAGCACTATATCCAACAAGTATCCATTGCTAGTCATTAAGTTTTGGTAGCGTAATGGTTACGAATTGGGCTGCAAACCGCAAGGTCAGCAGTTTGAAACTACCAGCTGTTCCGCGGGAGAAAGATGAGGCGTTCTGCTCCCGTAAAGATTTACAGCCTCAGAACCCCTGTTCAGGGTCGCTATGGGTCGGGACTGACTCAATGGCACTTAACAACAACAACAACACATTCAGAAGCAGTTTACCTCTCCTTCTAAATCTTAGTCTGGAAGCTCTGCTGAAACCTGTCAACCATGGATGACCCTGCTGGTATTTAAAATATTGGTGGCATAGCTTTAGACATCACAACACGCAAGCCACCACAGTAATATAAACTGGCAGACGTGAAAGATAATCACTTTTGCTTTATTTTCTATGCAAAGGCATTCAACTGTGTGAACCATAACAAACTAGAGATAACATTGCAAAGAATGGGTATCCCAGAACACTTAATTGTGTTCATGAGGAACCTGTACATAGACGAACAGGCATACAGGCAAAACAAAGGATACTGAATGGTTTAAAATTAGGAAAGGTGTGCATCAGGGTTGTATGCTTTCACCATACTTATTCAATCTGCATGCTGAGCAAATAATCTGAAAAACTGGATTGTATGAAGAAGAATATGACATTAGGATTGGAGGAAGACTCATTAACAACCTGTGATACATAAATGACATAACTTTGTTCACTGAAAGCAAAGAGAACTTGAAATACTTATCATGGAGATCCAAGTCTACAAGCCTTCAAAATGGACTGCATCTCAATGTGAAGAGAAAAAAAATCCCCACAACTGGACCAAAAATAACTTCATGATAAGTGGCGAACACAAGAAGTTATCAAAGATTTCAATTTGCTTAGATTCATAATCAATGCTCATGGAAGCAGCAGTCAAGAAATCAAGGCGTACTGCAATAGGGAAATCTGCTGCATAAGACTTCTTTAAAAGTGTTCAAAAGCAAAGATATCACTTTGAGGACTAAGCTGCACCTGACCTAAACCATGATATTTTCAATCACCTCATATGCATGGGAAAGTAAGTCAAGGAATAAGGAAGACCTTAGAAGAACTAATGCATCTGAATTATGGTATTGGCAAAGAAGAATGAAAGTACCATGAACAGCCAGAAGAACAAAGAAATCTCTGTTGAAAGAGGTATAGCTAGAATGCTCCTTAGAAGCAAGGTTGGCAAGGGTTCATTCATCTCTAGTACTTTGGACATATTAAAAAGTCCAGTCCCTGGATAAGAACATCATGCTTGGAAATATGGAGGATCAGTGAAAAAGAGGAAGACCCTTGACAAGATCAATTGTCACCAGCGGCAGCAACGAAGGGCTCAAACAGAGCAATTGTGAGAATGGTGCAGAATGGGCAGTGTTTCATCCTGTTGCATGTAGAGTAACTAGTAAAACCACACAGGGTTGCTATGAGTCAAAACAAACTCAAAGGCACTGAACAAGTACAACAGGTCAAAATATAAAATGTTAACCTTAAGATCAAAACCTGTAACCAGTCATTAGAGCTCTCTTGCACAGTGGTACTGATTTTGTTGACTAGTAAAGAAGGTTAAGTAAAATTTGAGGGGAAAGGCTCCACAGAAATAGACCTAGTGATTTGATAGTTTAGAAAACTCTACCGGGCAGTTCTGTGCTATCACACGGGGTCACTATGTTTGAAATCAACAGGATGGCACCTAAAATCAGGCACTGAACTAGGTGCTTCATATACTCATTTGGTGATGGTGGTGTGCCGTGCAGTTGGTTCTGACTCATAGTGACCCTACACAGGGTTTCCGAGGCTGTAAATCTTTATGGGAGCAGATAGTCTCATCTTTCTCCTGCGGAATAACTGGTAGTTTCAAACTGCTGGCCTTAAAGTTAGCAGCCCAACTCGTAACCACTATGCTACCAAAGTTCCCTATACTCACTTGAGTCTCCCAAAACACTAAAATATATTAAAAACATTCCTCTTTCAGATGGAGAAATGGGTTCAGAAAGCAAGGAACTTTACCAAGTTACACAGCATCCATGTAGCAGTGCTAGAATCTGGATCCAGACCTAATCTTCATACTACTTTGTCTTAGAGCATCTTTTGGGTATCTACATATAATTCATGAATTAAGTTAAAACTCAATCCACAGTTCTTTTTTGAAAAGCATATCATAACACACTGTCAGCAAAACCTTGATGAAAGGCTTAGGACATATAATAAATTAAAACTAAGGAGGTTAAGTTTGTATGACAACATGTATGACACTGAACCTATTAGCTTCATTTCCATTTGCAAGTACTCAGATCTTTACGGAATTATCATAATTACTGAGTGACATCATACTCTCTCGTAAGGTTTTCAAAATCCACTTTCCTCCTTCCCCCTTTTAAAATCAGAATAGCACTTGTCCACTTTTAATCTTCAGTACCTTTCCTGCCAAATTTCCCATAGACTACCTCCAGTAGTTAAGCAAATTCATCGGCATATTCTTAGTAGCCTGAGATAAAATTACTGAACATGACAAAAGTTAGATAACTTACTTGCTTTCTTACATTCTACTCAATCTACCTCACCTGGTCCTTTTACCAATGTGCTTGTCTTTCCATATTAATATATATTGTCTCATAGAGAATGTTCTAAAACAAAAAAATAATTGAGCAATTCTGTTTTCTCTACAAAGTAGGACAAACCTTTAAAAAATACAATTAATTAAATGCATAATACTTTTGAGATAAGTAGTAATGTTTTAAATAAACTGTAACCAAATAAGTATTAAAATTCTAATTTTACTGCTTACTTTCAAATAGGTAGCTGCCTCTTGAACAGAAAGTGTTCTCTGACTAGAACTGCCACATTCATGATCTCCTGGAAAGATTAACATATTATTAGTTTTGAATCAGTAATATGTGAAACAATTAAACAAATATGACTAATTCAAAATATATTACAAATTACACTATAGGTCATATTATAATCAGTAAAAAAAAAATCAAAGCAACAATACAAGGGTAAGTCAAAAAGAATGTACTACTAGGTTCCAGTTCATACATACATGGGCTTATTGCCAGTATAACATGTTTATACATATCTGTGCAACCACCGGATGACTGCAGACAAGTTCTCTCAGTAATACACTTCTTAGTCTCATTTGCTGTTGTTGTTGTTGTTAGTGCCGTTGAGTCAGTTCCAACCCATAGCAACCCTGTATAATAGGATTTCCAAGGAGTGGCTGGTAAGCTTAAACCACTGACTTGCAGTTCAAACTGACTTTACAATCCAACGCATTAACCCACAGCGTCACATCAGGACTCCTTAAGGTAATGGTCCAATCCACACTTTCAAGAGGTTCTGCTGGGCCAATTCAATTCAAGCTGGACAGCCCAGCTCATTTCAAGGCAGACAGATTAGCTCAGAAGATTACGGCAACTGGTTTTAGGGATTCCTAAGGGGTAATATGTGGCGCTGTGGGTTAATGCGCCAGACTGCAAAAGCTGTTTGAACTGCAAGGTCGGTGGTTCAAGCTCACCAGCTGCTTCTAGGAAACCCTATACAGGGTCACTATAGGTCGGAACTGATTCGACTGCACTTCACAACAACAATAAGGGGTAATATTGATAGATTTTCTCCAAGGACACAAGACAATCACTGGGACTTACAAACAACTTGTAAGAAAACTAAAACCTGCATTGGCTAAAAAAATAAGGTCAGTAAAGTTGTGCCAAGGAACGTTTCTCGATCACAATGATGTATCTACCCATTTTTTAAAAAGTAGCAAGGGCTGTACTATGAGAATTTTGTTCAGAAACCTTATCCTATCCACCTTATAGCACTGATATTGCTCCTTCAGATTCCTTTTTGTTCCCAAAATTCAAAGAATATTGACAAGAAACACAATTTGAATCCCTCAAGGATGCTGAAACTGCTATTTGACTTGGTGTACACACTGAAGAGTTCAGAATTCTTTGAGGAAAGGGCTATTATTGTTATTGTTGTCCTGAATTGCCATCAAGTTGGTCCCGACTCATAACAACCCTACATAAGGTTTCCAAGAGTGGCTGGTGGTTTTGAACTGCTGACCTTGCTGTTACTAGTCTAGTGCCTTCAGTATAGACATAGATGGAGAATGTTGAGAAAAAGTAGCTTCACATTTTTATTTATTTTTTTTAAGTCTCTATGATTTTGTAGGAGTCCTGATGGGGTGCTATAGAATAAACACTGGACCACAAGGTCGGTGGTTCAAACCCACCAGCTGCTACTCAGAAGCCCTATATGGGGTCGCTGTGAGTTGGAACTGACTAGACAGCATTTAATAACAACAATGGTTTTGTAGGATAGGAACTGTACTAATAACCGCAAAGTTGGAAGTTCAAATCTACTAGTGGCTCTTAAAAACCCTTTACAGGGTCACTGAGTCAAACAGCACATAACAACAATAACAATTTTGTAGCCAGACTTTTTTACTTACCCCGTATTATTTATATTTTTAATTTAAAGATTCCAGTAAATGATATAAACTATTTTATAAAAGCCACACTCCTTTAAGTGCATTCCAGTCTATATATCTCAAGGAGCTCTGATAGCATAGTGGTTACGAATCGGACTGCTAACCTCAAGGTTGGCAGTTCAACACTACCAGCTGTCCTGTGGGAGAAAGATGAGGCTTTCTGCTCTGGTAAAGATTTGCAGCCTCAGAAACCCTGTGCAGGGTCACTATGAGTTGGAACCGACTCCCTGGTACTCAACAACAACAAAAACAACTTCCTCTTAAATTCTCAACTAGATTGTAAACCAAGGTAGGAACTATGCCACGTTGATGTGAATGCACACTGGAGGCCCTCCATAGGTATTAGATGTAATTTCTAAAGGAATCAAATTCAACTAATTCATTGTGCTAATATACACATCTATTTCAAAAGCTAGTTAATTACAGGGTTCAAATAAACTTGATTACTGAACATCTTCAGAGTGCAACTAGGTTATCAGATTCTAATGGTGGTAGTTATAAAAAAGGGCTAAAGTACCTAAATAGATGAACAAGTACTTAAACTTTAAAATGCATCCTCACAGATTCAGATCAGATTCCATACATCTAAAGCAGAGATCAGAAATTACAGTCCATGGACGAAATGTACCTCCCAATGATTTTTATAAATGAGGTTTTACGCGAACATTGTCTCGCTCCTTCATTAGTATAGTATCATTAGTTGCTTACATGCTGAAATGGCAGAGTTGAATAGTTGTGACAGTGTCACCTGCAAAGCCTAAAACAATTATTATTGGTCATTCACAGAAAAGTTTGCACAGCCCTTAGAAGAGGGAACCTATGTATCTAAAATGTATCTAAAGGAACCTCAGATTTATGCTCATCTAGTGGGCCATGGGGGGTGCTTGTGTGGTGCTGTGAGTTAATGCGCCAGACTGCAAAGCCGTTTGAACTGCAAGGGCAGCGGTTCAAGCTCACCAGCTGCTCCTCAGAAACCCTGTATAGGGTCGCTATGGATCGGAATCGACTCGATGGCACTTCACAACAACAACAAGTGTGCCATGGGCTACATTTAACAAAACAATGCTACATAAACAGCCACAGAAGCATGTAGTAGCAACATCAGAATTTCTAGCTGGAGACAAGAGAGCTTCAAAAAGCTCATGGAAAAATGAAGCAAAAAAGAATAAATCTTTCCACAAAGTTTCTGAAGCTCCCTCTTTAAATGCATTTTTGGTGCAACAGTATACCAAATAAACGTCATTAGCTTGCAGCATATGAATACGACTGTTCAGGCAATACAAGAATGCTTTTAATGATATATACAGAATTATAATTATATCTAAGAAACTGATTAGAATTAGGGAACTCTTGTCAAGAAAGTAAGAGATTGTTGTGAACAGGAAGCTGTCAGGATCCTGAATGCCCTCACTGCCTCCACTCAACCAAAGAAGTTCCACTTTTACGTACTGTACTTTTACCAATAATGTGGTTTCTGCAAAGGGATCTGCTGTGCACAAAAATGTGGAAAACTACTTTCTTCATTACTTGTAACTGATTATAAGGAGAGAATACAAAGCCTTTTCTTTCAAGGCATAATGAATTTAAAATGACTAAGAAAAGTTAGAATAAATTTGCATTTACTGCAACCTATATGTATTACACTGGATACCAATTCACCTATAATAAATTACTCTAGTTGAAGAAACATTCCTATCTGAGAGCTCTTAAAGAGTTATTAAGAAAAGAATACAGGGAAAATTCAATGAAACAGAAAAACCAAATGCTAAGAATATTGATTTTATCCTACCACCAAGATAATCTGTACTCACATTTTATCCAGGACTTTAGTTAATTCATTGCCTCCCCAATTCAATTAATTTGTATGCTTTCAGAAATTTTTGTTACTATTAATGCAAGAAATTTTCTTACTGACTTTAAAAGAACCATTTATACAGGAAATAAAAACTTCTAAAGAGAAATACTACACAAAATATATCACACCAACCTTAGGAAAACAACTACTACTGTATAGCATGCTACATATGCAAATTAACTTTCAAATGAGTTTTAGAGACTATAGAATGTTAAAGCAATTACCTGCAAGCTGTGCCAATCGATCATGAAGTTTGTATAATGTGCTCATCATAAGATTTTTTTCATTTTCCTAAAATTAAGAAAAGTTATTATAAAACATTTAAGAACTATCCAAGCTAATATAAAATATCAAGAAAAAGTATATGTCAAATAACTCATTAAAAAAACTTTAAGCATTTAGAAGTTAAATAATTCAAAAGACAAAATCATATTTAAGTAGTGTGTTTAAAGAAACTTTAATCTAGGAAGCTAAGTTATCACTCTAAAAATTGTACTTTCTTGAGCATGGATGAAAATTTAACATTAGTGTTAAAAAAGGTCTCACACACGATGAAGTCCTCATTTCCCCACAACCATAACAATGTTCCTGATCTCCACTCTATGCGGTACATCCTTGTGTATATGGTAGTTCTTAAAGACTGTTTTTCTTTAGTGTTGCTGCTCATGGTTGTTGGTTTTTAAAAATCTGACTCAAACCACATAAAAATAAGTGAATGAGTACTGACATGTTGACTGACCCTCGAACTCTCCTAGGCTTTCAAAGAGGCCTTGCACAAACTTAATAAGCATTAAAGTGAAAACAGTATTTATAGAATATCAACTAGTTTTTTTAAGTGCTGAGGAGCCGGTTCCGACTCATAGTGACCTTGAGTAGGGTTTCTGAGGAGTGACTGGTAGGTCTGAACCGCTAACTTAGCAGTTAGCAGTCCAGTGCTTATCCTACAGTGCCATATCAGGACTCCCATTGGGGGGAGAATTTTCCTTAATATTATTTTAATATATTTAATATATATTATTTTAATATAATTAATATTCCTTAATATATGATAATAATATTATCATCAACACCAAATTCAACTGCTACAGAAGAACTCATTCAGGAGTTAAAACAGGAAAGAATTTAGTCCCTTTTACTCACCAAAAAGTAATATTACGAAGGTTATTTCTCAATTTGTATTTAATTAAATTACCTGCTAAAGATTCCAAAAGTGAGACCCAGTGAACAAGAAGGTTCCTGCTCTCAAAGGCAGATACTTATCAAATATTATATTGTAGGTCCAAACAAAATAATATTCTATAATGCAAATATAGAAAAAGTCAGGAGACAACTCAATTATGGACGAAAGTATATTTTAGTTAAGCTTCATAGAAAGAATAGAACTGAAAAGAGGCGAAAAGATGGCAGACTAAGCAGTAAAGCTATATAGACCCTCTACAACAAAGAAAAGTTAAACCAAATGAAACAGATGCAGATATAATCCTGGAATCCTGAGCTTAAGTTTTATGAAAGGTATGAGAAGTAGATGGAATGCTTACAAGGAAAGGAAGCTTTAACAGACGTAGCAAAACAAAAGGTGACACATGTTGATATGTGCAGGTTGATCAGACATGGCTTGGCCAGCTTAAACTTTAGCGAACAGCTTCAGAGACACAAAAGTATTGGCATTGCAGAAACATGCCAAAGGCTTGTGGGAAATACAGGTGCAACTTTTTCTTGTTCGCCATACTGCCCAGGTGACAAAAGGTATGGCTGGCTCCCACCCACGTACACCCCGTGATGTTCCTGGCTCTCTTGGTGTCCAGAGCCACACAGATCAGCACTATAGCTATGAGCCCCCAACACAGTGAATAGGGAGCAAGCTGCACAAAGCCTGGTGCCTGCATTCTGGTGAGACCTGCTCCAAACCTACAGAGCTGGCCTTAGTCAGCCCTAAACTGGCCCTCACTAGAAGCAACTGAATAGATGCGGGAGAATGTATGTGTGTGTTGGAGGAAGACACTTGATCTGTGACAGCTGGTCAGAGGCAGTGCTTCCAACTTAAATTATGGAGGGCTGCTGTGAACGCAAGAGGGTATTAGGTCTTTTAGAGGCATATCGCTTAGTGACAGAGAAACGCTTCTTGTACCTCACATTACCGTGGTGACCAGAGATGTGGTCTACCCCCAGCCATGCACATTCAATGAGACTTGATCTCTGAGCAGTTGGAGCCACATCAAATGGAGTGGGGGAGCTAACAGCATCAAATCCAGCACTGGGAATCAGGTGTGGCCTGCTCCAGGCCTGCAGAGCTGGTTCTGGCTAACCCTGGACTAGAAGGTCCTCTTGTCTTCAGTTGCCCTCTGGGACAGAAATATCCTAATTCCCCCAGCTGCTTTGGGGTCTGCACTTACTATTTGTGGATTGGATGCCCAGAACAGACGTTACTTAGCCCTATAGGAACTCTATCTAGGGTTGGAACACCACTATCTCATCCCTTGCCCAGCCACCACATGAGGCAAAAGACTCCAGAATATTCTCCTCACTGGGTCTAGATTCTGCCATGCATTTTTCGTTTGTTTTTGTTTGTTTATTCTTTCTGCCATGTCTTCTTCTCTTTACCCTCCCCTTGCTTTTTCGATCTTTGCTTTCAGTTTTCCTGCTCTTTTCTGATACTGCTTCTTTCTTTTTTTCTTAACTACTCTCTGATCGCTTTTCCTTTCACTTATTATTCTCCCTAATTGTCTTTAGTTCTTTCTTAGTTCTAGTGTCTTATTTTTCTTTTCTGTATTTTTTTTTTACCATCCTTTTATCACAGTCACTAGGAGACACCTAGTGAGTACCGAAGAATATACCAAAATATATCAATTTAATATAAATAGAACACAAACAATGTCTCAGAAACAGCACTTTCTGTCCACACATACAAACAAGAAGGAAAGGCTCAAAAATATAATCCAAAACGGAGAGCTAGAACACGTTTTTAATGAAAAAAAAGTATTGGAATTTTCTGAAAAAGAATTTAAGAGGATACTTGTTGTTAGGTACCATCGAGTTGGTACCGACTCATAGCAACCTAATGCACAGCAGAACGAAACACTGCCCGATCCTGGGCCAACCTCACTACTGTTGCCACGCTTGAGACAATCGATCTACCTAATGCACAGCAGAACAAAACACTGCCCGATCCTGGGCCAACCTCACTACTGTTGCCACGCTTGAGACAATCGATCTCGTTGGAGGTCTTCCTCTTTTTCTCTGACCCTCCTCGTTACCAAACATGATATCTTTCTCCACTGACTGGTCCCTCTTGACAATATGTGCAAAGTATGAGACACCAAGTTTGGCCATCTTGTCCTCCAAGGACCACTCTGGCTGCACTTCTTCCGGCGCAGATCTGTTGGTTCTTTTGGCAGCCCATGGCACTTTTAATATTCTCCTCCAAAACCATAACTCAAATGTATCAATTCTTCTAGGGTCTTCCTTATTCACTGTCCAGCTTTCGCATGCATATGAGATTATTGAAAATACCATGGCTTGGGTCAGGTACACCTTAGTCCTCAAGCTGACATCTTTTCTTAACACTTTAAAAGGTCTTGTGCAGCAGATTTGCCTAATGCAAAGTCGTTTGATTTCTTGACTCCTGCTTCCCTGAGTGTTGATAGTTGATCCAAAAAGAATGAAGTTCTTGACAACTTCAATCTTTTCTCCATTGATAAGAATGTTGTTTATTGGTCCAGTAGTTATTGATAAGTATGGATTAATTGCCACTAATATGTTCATTTTCTGCCATCATATTTGACAGTGCTTATCTGCTGTTTATAAGGTTTTCAGTGACTAAATATTTGGAAGTAATTCGTCACTCCTTCTTCCTAGTCTGTCTTCATCTGAAACCTGTCCACCATGGGTGACATTGATGGTATTTAAAATACCGGTGACATAACTTTCAGAATCACAGCAACTCACTGTTTATTGGTCCAGTGGTGAGGATTTTTGTTTTCTTTACATTGAGTTGTAATCCATATAGAAGGCTGTGCTCTTTGATCTTCAGCAGAAAATATTTTAAGTCCTCTTTACTTTCAGCAAGCAAAGTTGTATCATCTGCATATCTCTGGTTGTTTGTTAATGAGTCTTCCTCCAATCCTGACGCCACGTTTTCCTTCATAGAACCCAGCTTCTCGTATTATTTGCTCAGCATACATATTGAACAAGTATGGTGAAAGAACACAACCCTGTCGCACACCTTTCCCAATTTTAAAACATTCAGTGTTCCCATGCTCTGTTAAACAACTGCCTCTTGGTCCA